CAGAAGATTAAGGCAATTTTGTTGAAGGAAGAAGTTGTTGTTGCCGACTAAACTCTGAAATTGTGTATTAATTAATTCTTTGAAACAAAAGTTTCCCATTTTATAACAAAATAATTAAATGGGTTTCCAATTAACTTATATATTCACTAAAGAATAGTATTTATGACTATGTATAATAAGAAAGCATTGTACTTTCTTATTATTCACCATTACTACACTAGATTTTTACTAGTATTTAACAAATTTGAAGAACTACACTCGCAAATTAACGAAAATACAGCCAGCAATAAAATATGTCTCAAAATGAATTTAGCAAAAACTAAAATAATGTACAACAAACTATTATAGTAGACAGAAAAAACATTCTAAAAAATAACATAAAGCTAGAAATAGTAGAAGAATACATATATTTGGTACAACTAATACACAACTCTGGATCTCTCCTGCCAAAAATCAACCGAAGAATTAAGTTAAGTACTTATGGAAGAAGCTCAATCATATTTTATCTAGAATGCCACTTTATCTAAAGAAGAAAACAGTCGACCAATGTATACTACGAGTCATGACCTATGCATGCGAAACTTGGATACCTAAAACGGACATTATAAGGAAACTTTAGGTCGCACAACATTCAAGAAAGACCGTAAAAGATTATAGTAGATACGACAAAAGACCCAGATAATAGATTTCATCCACAGAATCAAATCCCTCAAGTGGCAATGGGCAGAACACTTGGCAAAAAGAACGGACAACGATGGACCACAAAAATTACAGCATGGTACCTACGAGGAATTAAGAGACCTAGTGAAAGACCAAACCATGAGTTGGGACCATGATATTAGGAAATTAGCAGCGATCACTTAAATTATATGAGAAAAATGTCATTGATCTAAGCCAACTGGACGCCGTTTTTTTCTCGATCAGACGCGGTACTTTTATAGACAAACAGTTCAAGATGTACAGGGTGGGTCAAATTAGACGCTTTTAAATGGAAACACCCTTTTCTATAGGAGATAGACGAAAACTAATATCGATGTCTGGAGCTCAATTTTCATCAAAAACATGATAGTGAAAACCACACATCAATATCTGTTATTGTTTCGGAGTTACGGGGTGTTTTTAAGAAATGTGCATTTTTAACAAATCGCTGTAACTTTTTTGCTATGGAAAATTTTGTATTTCTATTAAAACATTTCCAAAGCACCTTTTTATGGAGAATTTAATGTATTAAGTATAATTTTTTTTAAATTAATAATTTAAGAGTTATCAACAGAAGAATTGATTTTTTATTTGGGACACCCTCTATATTTTTAATTAACTGAAAATAATTTTAAATTACCTTTCCAAAAATATAGCACACTTGATATTTCCCTTCGAAATAGAGAATTTTTAAAAGTTCGCCAGTTTTAACTAGTAGGCTTTGGACCCCTTATTGATGATATGCCCTTAATGGAACTCGAAAACATATTTTTCCAGCAAGACAACGCACCGCCTCTGAACGCTGAAGTTATGAGCAAATATTTGCAGCCAATTTCAAGAATAATTGAATAGGTAACCATGATCCCAGCCGTTGGCCGTCGAGGCCGCCTGACTTAGTGCCCATGGATCTAATTCTATGAATATATTTGCGGGAGAATAAAGGTTCCTTATTCTTCCGTATAATCTAGACAAGAATTAGAAATACTTAGCAGTTATGAAAGGGTATCTTTCACCCCCACTGAGTTAATAGATTCCGCGAGAAATGTTCAAAAACTGCCCCGTCTGTCCATAACAGAAGACGGTCGATATGTCGAACACCTGTAGCAAAATCTCATGTCTTGGTTTGCTATTTATTTTTATTGTTATGAGAGATAGTTTAAACGTGTTGATGTTGGTTAAATATATTTTAAATTGTTATAAAATTCTGCATCTCTCATAGCAAATATTATTTTCGTTTTAATTGATGCTCACAGCTAGAATTTTTTTGCATTACAGCCGGTGCCGTTCAAAGCCTACTTATTTAAAGCGGGCGAATTTTTATATACTCTATATCTCGAAGAGGAATCGAGCAAAATATCAAGTGTGTTATATTTTTGGAAAGGTAATTTTAAATTCTTTTCAATAAATTAAAAATATACGGGGTGTCCCATATAAAAAATCAAATATCCTGTTGATAATTCTTAAATTATTAATTTTACAAAAATTATACTTAAACCATTAAATTCTACGTAAAAAGGTGCTTTGGAAATGTTTTCATAAAAATACAAAATTTTCCATAGCAAAAAAGTTACAGCGATTTGCTAAAAATGCATATTTTTGAAACACCCCGTAACTCCGAAACGGTAACAGATATCGATATGCGGTTTTCACCATCATGTTTTTGACAAAAATGGAGCTCCAGACACCGATATTAGTTTTTGTCTATCTCCTATAGAAAAGGGTGTTTCCATATAAAAGCGTCGAATTTGACCCACCCTGTACATTGATTTAAAGAAAAACTATTAGTTTCGTAGTTCGAGTATCTATATCGACACGCTAATAAAAAAAATGTTATTATTATGAGTTATTAAAATTATATTTAAATATATTAGTGCTACCTAAACTTCTTCATTTTTCCTTTTTGTCAAAATAACCACTAATATTTTTTCAAGCATATTTGCTACACTTAGAAAAGGTAAACAAGTCTTTATTACTTTGAAAAATAGTCTAGATGAAGTGCCCAGTCTTAAGGCCCCCACAGACACTCAGTTTTATTGCTCAGGTCGCCGGTGCAAACCTGGTTTGTGCAGTTATGTCGTTACGTATGTGGGAAGTTCCGGCCGACTGCGACTGCGCAGGCCGTTTGTCGTCTGCGCAAACTTCGAAGCCTGAAGCTATGTATGCTTGTTCATATTTTTCAGGTTTTTCTTCAGTTCGCTTATATTTTCAGCCCGAAGATTGGAGTATACCGATTTTCAGTCTATTATTAACTGGAAGTAAAATGCCGATTTGAAAATAAAAAAAAAGGATTAGTGACAGGAATAAAAAATCCGCATCTTCTGACCACTTCATATACGAGGCATGTTTTTTAAGTAAGTACCGTGTTGCGATTCCGCCGCCGCAGCGCTACGGTCGGCGTTCCGCGCATGCGCGCTTGTTACCTACATCTCTTGTCTATGCACAGACGCCACTACAGTCTGATTCTTCATTGTATACGTTGTTTATTGAGTGTTTAAGATGCCTCCGACAATCGTGAGCCCCGCCGATTGTGAAGTACGGGCTGTCATACGATTTCTTAGTGCTAAAGGCGTAAAACCGATCGATATTCATCGTGAGATCTGTGAAGTTTACGGACAAAACATTATGAGTGATGGAATGGTAAGGAAATGGGTGAGAGCATTTAAAGAAGGCCGCACAAATGTGCATGATGAAGAACGGAATGGGCGTCCTTCGGTCGTTAATGAAGATTTGGTGCAGAAAGTGGACGAAAAGGTAAAAGAAAACAGACGCTTTACAATTTTATCATTGTGCGACTACTTTCCTCAATGTTCTCGTAGTGTTTTGTATCGTATTGTGACCGAGAACTTGAATTACCGGAAATTGTGTTCACGTTGGGTTCCGAAAATGTTGACGGATTTGCACAAAACCCAACGTTTAGGCAGTGCATTGACTTTCCTTGAGCAGTACCACAATGAAGGTGAAGATTTTTTAGACAAAATTGTTACTGGTGACGAAACATGGGTGGCCTACGTCACACCAGAATCGAAACAACAGTCAATGGAATGGCGACATTCATCATTGCCCAAAACAGTGAAGTTTAAGCAAACAATTTCTGCCCGGAAAATCATGTGCACAGTTTTTTGGGACAGAAAAGGAGTATTGCTAGTGGAGTTTCTGCCTCGTAATGAGGCAATCAATGCAGCATCTTATTGTGAGACATTGAACAATCTGCGCCGTGCAATCCAAAACAAAAGACGTGGCAAGTTGAGTAAGGGTATTGTTTTGCTGCATGACAATGCCCGTCCACATGTGGCTAATCGGACCAAAGATCTCATCAAATCTTTTAAATGGGAAACTCTAGATCATCCTCCATACAGCCCTGATCTAGCGCCCAGTGACTACCATTTATTCCTGCACTTGAAGAAACACCTGGGCGGTCAGCGTCTTCAAGACGATAACGAAGTCAAAACAGTTGTGATACAGTGGTTAACCAGTCAGGCGGCAGAATTTTATGAGGAGGGTATTGAAAAACTGGTGCCACGTTATGACTCAATATTCACGGAAATTATGTAGAAAAGTAGATTAAGGTACAGGCTTTCATGTAAAAATAAAATTATTGCGATATCTTTGCACGTTTTTTTTAATTCCAAAACGGTACTTACTTAAAAAACATGCCTCGTAGTAGAAAAACAAATGGAGATTGATTAGAAAGCAAATAGGGAAGCAGTTGTTAAAAAGATTAATAATTTAAGAAGTTTTTTTAGAAAAAACTGTACAAGGTCTTAAAAATCAATAATTTGACGTAACTGAGTTAATGAACAGAGCGTCTGTGGGGGCTCTTCAAAATTCAACAATCTTCTGCGCAACTTGAGCGATTATTCTCTAACTGGAAATACATACACACATACGCACCTCTTTGAAAGATATGATCATCGGAAGATTCAAAAATTGTATACTGTGTTTTTTAATTGGATTAGGATCGAAAAAAAATCAACAGAAGTCCTTTGTTTTAAATTTGTCAACGTTTTGCAAAATTTATTTGCATCTTCAGGACACTACAAAGTTAAGAGTAAGTATAAGTTATATAGTTAAGAATAAGTTATATCCTACGCTTAGATGAAAATCTTACCCCAAGTTTCTAATATTCGTTTATTCTATTGTTATGAGTTTTAATAATATAACGTTTATCTTTAATTGCAGCTTTAATTTTTGTACCAATATACTGTCTACCTGTTGATGTTTTTAACATTGATGAGGTTACTGACATGAGGTTACGACACGACATTGCTGACATCGCTCAAATTAATCTCTATTCTAGTTACCTCATGCCATTCGCTCAGTTCGACGCGACCGTGACTCCTCACTATAGCCGCTCCGGTGCCCAAATTGTAGGCGAACTCCACGAAGCCGTCGTTGAGGTAGAGGCCCATAAAGTCCCCGGTGCCGTCCATTCTATGGCCGTTGTAGATGATGAGGCCGTCGGATATGGTCGGTTTGAATGTGATCTCGAGATCCAGCCACGTGAGGGCGGACTCGGCCAAGCCGCGGTAACGCAGATGGCTTGAGCCGTTGAATGAAGGCACCTGAAATTGATAATATACATATAAGAAAATTATTTAAAATCAAATATGGAAGATTGGAAGGATTTAATATCTACGAGTGTGTAAGATAATTGATGTGCGTGTATTAACTTCGGCTAATATCGGAACACAATACGGACTAGTTTTGTGTACTCGTAAGTTATAGCAAATTATGTCAGCAAATTTAATATGGAATCACTCAAGGACGAAAGTATCACATACCTTTATCAACAAAGACTCCGCGAGAAGATTACCTAAAACCCCATAACAAAATACGATAACGTAGAAGCCGCCTGGGAAAAAGTAAAGAACAACCTAAAAAACAGTGCCATGGAAGCTTTAGAAGAACGAACAATAGACGCAAACATACACCAAAAGTCCAAAAGTCAAAGAACTGGCAAAGGAAAAAAAGGATGCTTACATAAAATATATTAACAATAGGTCACACGAAGAATGTGAAGTCTACAAAAGAGTGAGAAATAGAACAGCTAACGCCACTAAAGATTTGCAGAAAACATACCGGGAAAACTTCTGAGTGGACTTCTTTATGAAGGAGGAAAAAACCAGTCAACGAGGAAGTAGTCATTAACGCTATAAGTCAGGAAACATGGGCAAGCTACTTTGAAAATTTGTATGATAACACCGAAAATAATGATGAGTTAGAAATCGAGAACCCACCATCTCCATACGATCAAGAGGAAAACATTACACTAGAAGAATTACAAACAGCTATAAAGGTATAGATAATAATCCAAATGAATTGCTTAAGTACGGAGGCCCAGAAATCGACAAAGAACTAATACAACTATACGAAAAAATAGAACAAACTGGATTAATACCTGAAGAATGGAAAACCAGCATAACTATACCTATATATAAAAAAGGTTCAAAATCCGACCCGAAGAATTATAGAGGTATAATGTTACTTAGTAGTGTAGTAAAACAAAAATGCTAGCAAATAAAATGCTAAGGTAGAAATATCCGAAGAGCAGCAAAATTTCCGCCGAAATAGATCAACGGTAGTGAACTATTAGAGAAATCCATAGAATTCAATAAACCCATGTACAGGGTGTGTCAAATTCGACGCTTTTAAATGGAAACACCCTTTTCTATAGGAGATAGACGAAAACTAATATCGGTGTCTGGAGCTTAATTTTCATCAAAAACATGATGGTAAAAACCGCACATCAATATCTGTTACCGTTTCGGAGTTACGGGGTGTTTTTCAAAACTGTGCATTTTTACAAATCGCTGTAACTTTTTTGCTATGGAAAATTTTGTATTTCTATGAAAACATTTCCAAAGCACCTTTTTACGTAGAATTTAATGGTTTAAGTATAATTTTTTTTAAATTAATAATTTAAGAGTTATCAACAGAAAAATTGATTTTTTATTTGGGACACCTCTATATTTTTAATTAACTGAAAAGAATTTAAAATTACCTTTCCAAAAATATAGCACACTTGATATTTTGTTCATAATCCTCTTCGAAATACAGAATTTTTAAAAGTTCGCCACTTTTAACTAGTAGGCTTTGGACCCCTTATTGATGATATACCTCTAATGGAACTCGAAAACATATTTTTCCAGCAAGACGACGCACCGGCTCTGAACGCTGAAGTTATTAGCAAATTTTTGCAGCCAATTTCAAGAATATTTGAATAGCTAACCAAGATCCCAGCCGTTGGCCGTCGAGGCCGCCTGACTTAGTGCCCATGGATCTAATCCTATTGATATATTTGCGAAAGAATAAAAGTTCCTTATTCTTCCGTATAGTCTAGACAAGAATTAGAAATACTTAGCAGTTATGAGGGGGTATCTTTCACCCCCACTGAGTTAATGAATTTTGCGAGAAATGTTCAAAAACTGCCCCGTCTGTCCATAACAGAAGACGGTCGATATGTTAAACACCTATAGCAAAATCTCATGTTTTGGTTTGCTATTTATTTTTAATGTTATTAGATATAGTTTAAATGTGTTGATGTTGGTTAAATATATTTTAAATTGTTATAAAATTCTGCATCTCTCATAGCAAATATTATTTTCGTTTTAATTGATGCTCAGAGCTAGATTTTTTTTGCATTACAGCCGGTGCCGCTCAAAGCCTACTTATTTAAAGCGGGCGAATTTTTATATACTCTATATCTCGAAGAGGAATCGAGCAAAATATTAAGTATGTTATATTTTTGGAAAGGTAATTTTAAATTCTTTTCAATAAATTAAAAATATAGAGGGTGCCCCATATAAAAAATCAAATTTTTTGTTGATAATTCTTAAAATATTAATTTTAGAAAAACTATACTTAAACCATTAAATTCTACGTAAAAAGGTGCTTTGGAAATGTTTTCATAAAAATACAAAATTTTCCATAGCAAAAAAGTTACAGCGATTTGTTAAAAATGCATATTTTTGAAAAACACCCCGTAACTCCGAAACGGTAACAGATATCGATATGCGGTTTTCACCATCATGTTTTTGACAAAAATTGAGCTCCAGACACCGATATTAGTTTTCGTCTATCTCCTATAGAAAAGGGTGTTTCCATTTAAAAGCGTCGAATTTGACCCACCCTGTACATATGCTTCGTAGATCTAAAGCAAGCATTTGATAGAGTAAAACTTAAAGATGTGATCTATCGATTAAACAAAAAGATGTCAACAAGTACCCCACAAACTTAGTAAATCAGCTCAATATAAATAATAAAACAAATATACGAACAGAATCTGGCTTAACAATAGAACTCAAAGCCTTATCTGGTATCAGACAGGGAGATAGCCTTAGCCTTTAACATAATAAAGGACCAAATAATTGAAAGTGTAAACGAGGTTAATGCAGGGTTTAAGATGTTACCGTTACCTGAGAATACTATGTTACGCAGATGATGCTATCCTGATTGCTCAAAATGAAGACGACCTACAGCGCCTCCTCTATAAATTTAACTTAGCGACACAGAGTCTTAACATGCAAATTTCATGCGAAAAAACACCATCTATGGGAATATTCTAAGATCCACTACGGTGCAAACTAGTAGTCAATGAGCGCATTATAAACCAGGTAATGAGTTCCAATTATTTAAGGATAGAAACATGGAGCAGCAGAAGTATAACGACTGAAGCAGATAATTACACTGGCACTGGAAGGTTAAAGAAGCCTCAAGAATATCAGGGTATTTACGTGATGTAATATGGAAAAATAAATACATGAGTGCAGAGAGTAAGACCCGAATTTAAAAGACCTGTATAAGACCCATACTGATAAAACGAGCAGAAACATCAGAAACGAAAAGGAAAATGAGAACAACAGAGATGAAAATATTACGAACAATAAAAGGGACTACACTGCTCGACAGAATACGCAACACACGCTAAGAGAGTTGGGAGTACAGGACGTTGTCAGATGGGTAAGAGGAGGGCGCCGCTGTTGGAGAGACCACGTAGACAGGATGGGTCCAGATCGAATTGCCAAGTGGGCCAAAACACAAAAGCCAGAGACAAGATGCCCAGTTGGTAGGCTCCCAAAGCGTTGACAGCTGGACATCAACATTACAAGAGCACAATAATCGACATGAATTGACTAATTGCCAATTTTGTTTAAGTGCAGACCTAAAGTATGTACGAGGATGTCTTTCAAGAATATATTTTAACTTCTATAGGGTGGCTCAAAAAAGTATGGGTGATCGGGATGATTTTTTTTTAAATGTAACACCCCGTATATTATTGCATTTCTGGATTCCTTACAGATCACTTTACATAATCCTAAGATATGAGTAAATATATTTCGGTAATTTCAGAGGTATTAATAAATAAATAAAAAATATACAGGGTTGTTCACCACATACGACACGGAATATTGTAACTAAACGATTAGATTTTTACAAATTGTAAGTTTTGGGTTCGTTGAAGGACTATTAGAGCTACAATTTAAAAATATTTTTACAAGATACAGAGTGTCCCAAATAAATAAAAAACATTAAAGTTGTATTTTTTTAAATGGAACACCCTGTATATTATTACATTTTTAGTCTCTACGATTAAAATAAAGGTAAATTTGATTAAAGTTTATTACACTTAAACCTTACCGTTTTTGAAATAATTTCAATTTCGTGAAATTGCAGTATAAATTTTAAGGCTACATTTCTCCGAGGGTATCAAAGTTTTTAATACTGAAGTTTATTTATTGATCAGTTATTGTACTGCAATAATAAAAATTTTACTACCTTATACAGAGTGTCTAAATATTTATTTTACATAATTATTAGCTTTAAACGGCAATAACTTGTTTAATTTAAATAGAACACCCTGTATATTTTACGAGAGTCAGATGCACAATTAATTGTCTATCAAATTATATTATACCATTTTTTACCTATCTCTTCAAGTTTCCTTAGAAAATGCATTTTCTTGTAATTTAGAACTCATTTATCAATATACCCATGGAATACTGACATTTTAGATTATTTTTAAAGATGTACCAGATTTTTAAAGAGTACAGATACTAATATTGTCGATATAGTTCCTTTATTTCATTAAAAAATAAAAAACCTGTTTAAATATTTGTTGAAAGAGGACCAATTAATATGATTCCAGTATTCAAACTACATTAATTGACTGTTTGCGTTGATTAATAATAATTGCTCCAAATACTAAAAAACTGAATTATGTATGGGTATTAGAGAGTGTGGTAAAAAACTAACACCTTAAAAATGATATTTAATTTTTTGACAAATGCTTATTTATAACAACAGAGACGTTCATTTTCATAACTTATTATTATATTGATTTCTGATTCAAGTCCACATTTATTTAGAATAATTTATTAACGAACACAATTAAGTATGTAATTAATTAGTATTTGGGCGGAAATATTGGTGGTATATTTAATTAATGGTATACTCTTTTATAATGATTTAAATAGTTTTAATTCTATTATATAATAATATAATCTATTAAAATAGATGTCCTTTTGCATACAAATGGACTAGTAATATTATCATTTTACTAAAA